TTTTTCTGTTTGTAGTTAACTTCCTTGGGTTGAAGATTTCCTTCCAGAACTTTCTGTAGGGCTAGGTTAGTGGATATGTATTGCTTGAATCTAGTTTTGTCATGGAATATCTTGTTTTCTCCATCTATAGTGATTGAAAGCTTTGCTGGATATAGTAGTCTGGGCTGGCATCAATGGTTTCTTAGTGTTGATAGACTATCTATCCAGGACCTTCTGGCTTTCAGAGATTCCATGGAGATGTCAAGTGTAATTCTGATAGGTTTGCCTTTATATGTAACTTGACCTTTTTTCTTAGCTGCTCTTAATAGTCTGTCTTTATTCTGTATATTTAGGGTCTTAATTATTATGTGGCAAGGGGACTTTTTTTGTGATCCACTCTATTTGGTGTTCTGTAAGCTTCTCATACCTTCATTGGCATATCTTTCTCTAGGTTGGGAAAGTTTTCTTCTATGATTTTGTTGAATATATTTTCTGCTCCTTTGAGGTGGTTTTCTTCACCTTCTTCTATTGCTATTATTCTTAGGTTTGGTCTTTTCATGGTGTCCCATATTTCCTGGATGTTTTTATTAAGGATTTGTTGGACTTATGATTTTCTTTGGTCGATGAATCAATTTCTCCTTGTGTATCTTCAACACCTAAGATTCTCTGTTCCATGTCTTGTATTCTGTTAGTTATGCTTGCATCTGTAGTACCTGACCATTTGCCCAGCTTTTCTATTTCCAGCCTTCCTTCTTGCAATTTTTACTTCATCTTTTCTTCCATTTTTTGGTTTGTTTTTTTCTTCCATTTCTTGCATTTTTTGGTTTGTTTTTTTCTTCCATTTCTTGCATTTTTTGGCTTGTTTTTTTGTTCCATTTCTTGCAATTTTTGGTGTTTTTTTCTTCCATTTCTTTGAGGGATTTTCCTATATCCTCTTTTAGGACCTCTATCATTTTAATGAAGTTGTTTTTAAGGTCATTCTCTTCTGCTTCATTTGCATTGGAATTTTGGAGTCTTGCTGATGTGGAGTCTCTAGAATCTGGTAGTGTCATATTTGTTTTTCTGTTACTGAGTGTGTTTTTGTATTGTTTCTTTCCTATCCCTTCTTCAAGTGGGTGCAGAAAGAGCCCCTTACTGGTCTGGTGGTTAGGGGACCAGAGTTCCCTTTCAGTGGGTGCAAGCAAGTCCAATACTCTGGTAGTTCTCCTCTTCCTGGTCCTAGTCCTGGTCCCATGGGAGGAGAAGATGACCAGGCATCTGGTGTGTGTAGGCTCCCACCTGGAGGGGAGACTCAGTGACAGTCTCCAGGCGCTGGACCATGGACCCAGAAACAGACCCTGAATTGCCTGCTCCAGTGGGTGGAGAAGACGACCAGGAATCTTGGGTGCATGGCTCCAGCCAGGAGAGGAGGCTCTGTGGAAGTCCCTAGGCATTTCCCAGGCACTGGAAGGCAGGCCCCCATACAGGGCCTGGTTTACCTGGCCCCATTGGTGGAAAAGAAAACCAGGAATCTGGGATGTGTGGCTCCTGCCAGAAGGGGAGCCTCTGTGGCAGTCCCCAGGCACTGGAAGGCAGCCCCGGATACAGGGCCTGGTTTACCTGCTCCTCTGAATTTGGGGTCTTAGAGTGACTGACATCTTTACTGTATCTCTTTTTGATATCATGTGACTTGATACGTAGTCCAAAATCAGTGTCTCATCATCCCGATGTTTTCTATTTTGATGGTAGGAATATCCACTGAACTACCCTGAGATGGGGAGGACATGTTCTCATTACATTGTCACACAACTGTGACCAAACTGCGCAGGCGAACACCTGGAAAGGAAGAATGATTTACGTTGGTTCATGGTTTCAGTGATGCCAGTTCACAGCTGGTCTGTGGTGAACCAAAGCATCCATGGCAGTGGTGGCATGTAGTTGTAGAAGATTTCTTCACTTTACACCAGGTGGGAGAAAGAGACAGGAAGGGACAGAGAGTCGTGCTTGACTTTCAAAGGCATACCCACCGGAACCTACTTCCTTAGGTTACATTGACCAATGTGCACAGAACTGCCTGAAATAGCAGTAACACCAAATGTTTGGCCCATAAGCCTGTGGGAGATATACAGACCTGTGTTTCATATACAGACCAAAGCGGAGGGGCTACAGAAGTCAAGATACGTTTGTACAGGGTCTTGAAAAGCAGGTAGAACCCTTTTTTTTTTAAGAAAATGAATTCTAAATCCATGTTGATGAATACATCCTGAAAATAACTACCTGAAGCATCAGTTTGTTGCTCTAAATGCATAAAACTCTTCTTTGGGGATTCTTTCAGAGTCAGTTTCTGAACTAAAAACCATAACTTGCATCTATTTCTTTATAGATGTAGCACTTATGTTAGTGTTGCCCCGTGAGATGACTCATGCTAATTTACGAACTTGGCTTTGGATAGCCATTTTCCACCTCCAGAAATAAAACCCACACACAGGGTTAAAGATTGCTTACTACTGACCATAGCCCAAAGAAGAGCTTAGAAAAAAGAAACTCAGGAAAAGAATTGTGCCATGGAGGCATTTGGGCAATGCCAACCTCCCAGGAATAGTGCTGTTGTGGAGAGATTGTTGAGTATGGGCTTCCACATGCCCAGCCTGCTGTGAGTGTGGCATTGTGGGTATTTCCCCAAATTCTCAGAGAGACTGAATTACAGAGGGGGTGTGACACACTGTACATTGCCATTCAGACAATGCTCAAAGACCTAACAGAGTCAGATGTCAGACTCTAGTACAGGACACTGCAGGATGGACCCCACCATTTGTGGTCATAAGTTGGGGTACCCAGTCACTCCACTGGTGAGATCTAGGTCTGTGATGGCAGGGACTATAGTTTCAGTTCTAGTTCAGACACCCAATTTCACACCTATCTTGAAGAGTATACCTGGCTATCAACTGTGAGCCAGAATCCACCCTTTCTCTTTCAAGTTTATTTCATCAGGGCATTTTAATCACAGTATCAGGGAAAGAAACTGGGGCGTCACTTTCCCTCTGTATTGGCTTCATCCGTCTTGCCATTTTGAGGGGGTTGATGTGAATTTACCAAATGTTTCAAATCCATTGTTTCCTAAGAATGGACTCCAAATTGATCAGCGAGGCTCTGAAGTTTGCACCTGGCTTTGTGTTCTTGGGTAAAGTCCCCTTTTTCTGCCCAAGTCACTGTGACATAATGTGCAAACATTAGAATGATATTTGCTTTATTTTTTGCAAGGCCATTATGGTCTCTCAGGGTGATTAAACAGCTAAAGATTCTTCATTGTGTTAACTCATTCTTTTGGAAAGTTATCGAAAGGGAAAAATTTCCCTTTGCGTCTTTAAGATTTAATGCATCATCTAATACATCTTTAACTCCCATGAAAATTTCCTAGAAGAGGTGAATCAGCCTACATAATAATTAGGGCATATTTATTGCTCTTGTTTGAATTTGATAGGAACTTAATTTCATATATATGTATATATACACATATATATACTATATATATACATATATGTATATATATATTAACGGTCAAAGGTCTGTCTCACAATCCCTTTGGGTTATTAAACAATTAAAGATGATCCTTGACTCATAAAAGTTTGCAGTGGACTGAAGTGACTGACAGGTACATCCCACACATGTGTCCCCTGGCCGGTGGTGGGGCTTCCTGCTTGAAATTTCAGTTTTGACAAGACTTTCATGGCGCAGGCTTTGAATGTGTCCACTTTCCCCGCACATCATGTAGATGGGTACTTCCTTCCCTAAACTATGCCTGGATTGCACACCCTGACATGCTCATAAACTAAATGCAGAAACGGCATTGCAGGAATAATTACTTCATGCCCAACATCCGCAGCTTATTTCCACTGTTTAACCTCAGACACGTTGTTCTCATTTCCACTCTTCACAAGACATTTGTTCTCTTCACTGTTCTCCGTTTTAAGTGGATGAGGTTCATCTGGTTTGTTGATGTTATGAAATATGGAATTCTCATATTAATGGTCCCCAAATCATCTGGGAGTACTTTACACCATGTCTTCGCCATGATGCAGCCGTACCTTGTATCATGCAGAATGAGTTAACATGATATTAAATTACACCTTTTTATGTCATTTGCTTTTTTTTTTCTCCCGAGAACCCTTGCTTTACTTCCTCTTTGCTGATTATGCAAGAGTGACACAGGAAAAAGAAAACTGGGAGCATTTATTTGGAGTTTGACCTTTATATGAAATTATGTACATCGGAGGACAGCTGAATTTGGGGCTGTAGAGAAAAAAATATTGAAAATGGCATTGAGGAGGTTTTGTTTGTTTGTTTGCTTGATCAATTAGATCAGACAGGACAGATCAATGTGTTTTAAAGACACTTGTCAGAAAATAGTGTCAATTGTTGCAAAAAGTGTTATCTGATGTCTCTAGAAACTCGGTACCATTGTGTAGGATAAAATGGGTGAGAACAGTTTTAGCTAAGTGAAAGTAAGCAGACATCCCAGTAAATCCTATTTCAGCTTACCATTGCCTAGTCCATATAATGATAGCCATAACTTTGAAGAGTAAGGTTGATACTAAATGCTCCCTCATCTCTCTTTCCTCATTCCCACAATGCTATAATATTTGGTAAGATGCCAAAACCTAGAACCACTTGCCCAGCTTCCTGTGTACCGAGTCTGAGAGAAGGAACTCATTGGCGGTCCCACCCACAGCCTTGAACCTCACATATCAGGGTGGTGTCGAGGCAGCATTGACAGTATTACCCCAGAGGTGCTGGTGCCAGGTGCCACCCCTTTGGAAACTTAGAAGACCAAAGGGCAACACAGTCACAGATCTGGCCAAGTGTCGTTTCTACTTTTCATGTAATTTAAATGAAGAGTGGAGATTCAAGGACTTGGAGTTGGATTTATGTCTAACCCAGAAAGGAAAATGTGGCCATGAACTCCATGAATTCTTTTACTTTTATTCACTTATTACTTATTTGTTTGTTTGGTTTCCTGAGACAAGGGTTTCCTTGTGTAATAGCTCTGGCTGTCCCAGAACTCACTTTTTAGACTAGGCTGGCCTCGAACACAGAGATCCACCTGCCTCCAAACTGCATAGATTCTTGAGAATATTTCCTCTCCTGTTATCTTCCTCAAGACTCCTTCAACTCATAGCTACCACTCAGTGAATTCTGGGAGCCCTCAGAATTAGAAAGGGCATTAGAGTACAGTTAGGTAACCTCCTAGGAGAGACCCATCAAGAGACAGCTGGGGCAAGAAGCAGGGCTGGGACCCTGAACATGTGACTCCGAGTCTCCATCTCTACCCATAGTCTGAATGAGTCAAAGGGTCACAGTAAGATGCCCACTGTCTCTTGGGCCAGAAGGAAACACGTCTGGTCTTTACACATTTAGATGCAACAGCTTCTCCAGCGTAGGCAAGAACAGGTGAGAACAGGTGTGGAATGCCCATCTAGCTGTGGGGTCCATACTCAGTGTGCTCACGCCACACCTGTAAGAAGTAAGGTCCCCCGTTATAACGACAAGCCGTGGTCCTGTGCAGCATACCTGGGAGGTTATGTGTGCATGCATTCACAGCGCCCTCCTGAACAGAGGGGCATTCCAGCTGAGGGACTCCCAAGTGCTCTGGCCCGTTTCATACCCCAAGCACAGAGACCGTAGAGGTGCACTAAGCTGAACCACCTCTGGGCTGTGGTCTTAATGAAGAGAACTGACCCTTAGGGTCCAGAGAGTAGTAAATCTTTGCTGTATGCCTTTCACACACCTCCCCGCAACATGTGTGTGTGTGTGTGTGTGTTTCTGTGCACACGCTCGTGTGTACATGCATGTGTGTGACATAGTCATGCATGTGAGAGGTTAACATTAGGTGTTTTTCTCTTTCTCTCTCTATTTTTTGAGGCCGGGATCTCTTACTGAATCTAGAACTTACCATTTCAGCTAGACTGACTGACTGACTGGCCAGGAAGTCCTTGGGATCCATTTGTCTCTGCTTGAGGTTACAGACACCCTGCCCAGCTTTTTTCTGAGATCTAAACTCAGGTATTCATGCTCTTGAACCAAGTGTTTTACTTATTGGGCCACCTCTCAGGCCCCGAAATGTTCGATATTTATATCTACTGAAGTTATCAGCCCTTGCCAACCAGGAATCCTTTGATCATGGGCTGGCTATCCCTGGGTTGACAAATTATTTTGGTCCCTGCAGCTATAAATTCTCACAGTTAATCTTTAGGTTGGCTTATTACATGTAGAGAAAGAACTGCACATGGGACTCTGACCCCACCACTCTCGATGGCATCATTATTCTTGGTATCTCAATGAAGAGGGTCCTCAGTGTGGTTTGGTTTTTCCCACCGCTTAACCTTAGGGACAGAATCTGTTGGCTAATGCTGAGTCTTGGTGACAGATTTATTTCTCTGAGATGATTAAATTGGCATTCTTACCTTATACTTTAGTCTAATGATCTTGGGAAATGTACTTTTACTCATGGGTAGCAGCTTGTAATACTGAAGGCCAGCCTAGGGTCTCTGTAGCTCCCTCGACCTTGTAATCCCACTGTGTGAGGCTTTTGAGATCAGGGCTGTTGCTGGCCTGGGTTCTCTGTGGGAAGAAGCAGTCATCACTTGGTCTGGAGACTTAGCATTTAGTTTCATACTTAGACTAGCTATTGTTACAAGACAAATTACTGAACTTCCCTGGGAGGCGCAGATAATGAGTCTGATGTCTGCTCTGACTTGGGATTTAATAAACTTCTTAATGCGATGCAGATTTTGCTTAAAGATAATTTCAAGGGGAGAAAAAAAATCCATGGAACACACTCAAAATTTCTGTGAATGTGGGACTCAGCTTCCTGCCTGCTGTGGCTTTAATTCCCTCATGTTAGTTCCTAGTCATCTACCAGAAAGTTCTCTCTACCCTCCAGTGGTCTCTAGAGCTTCACTTTTCATCTGGGTCTCCTCTCCTATCCAGACACTCAGGCTAACACTCCAACTCTCTGATGTCACTACCCGGCACATCTTACGTATGTGAAATAAAAGAGCATGGAGGCTCCCAAATGGCCACTGATGCGCTGGTACAGAATCTACAAGCCAAGATGACTCTGAACTCAATCTCAACTCTATAGGCATCCCGACCACTGTTTCCAGGTCTACAGTGCTTGACAGCCGGCTCTACACAGAAGGACAACCCAAGAAGGCATGTCTAAGTTCGGGTAAAGGAGGATTTAGAGGCAACATGCATACTCCTGTCCAGGTGTTACCACTGGGCAGAATTGCTCAGTTTCCACTGCTGACCTCTTACAGTCTTCTTCCTGTGTGCTGGGTTTTGGTGCTCCTTGCTCGTGTGGTGTGGTCCCATTGTCCATATGTCACATGCCTTTGTCACAGTCTTTTTCGTAGGCTTCTTTCTAAGCCCACCTCTCCTGTTTAGACATCAAGATGAAGTCTCCATCTTTGTGTGGAGTTCTGATATCTTACATGAAATTCCAAACAAGTAGTAAATTTTCTAAAATCACGTGGCTGTGGTTCCCTGCAAAACTGGTCTTGAGGCCTTGGTATTTCTCCTTCCCAGTCCTATATGTCAACAAAGTTGGAGCCTAACCAAACCCTCTCTACCAAGCCATTTCTGACCCCTGCAGGCCTCTTTAAAGGACTCTTATCTCATGGTCCTAAATTCGCTTATTTGTCTTCTCCCTTAGAGGTGATATCCTTGAAGTTAAGCAGTTACTTACACTCATTTATCTAATCAAGTGCCAACACGTAGCAGGTGTTTGAGAAGAGTCTGTAGACCGAAGGAAGAACCAGTGTATAGTGGACAGGTTCTTTGTGCCCTTACCCTACACTCATGTTATACCAGGGCCTTTTCCAGCAGTGTAACCATGTTTTCAGGTGGGACCTTTAGGAAGCTATTAAGGTCCAGTGAAATGGTAAAGGTGGTGATCTGATCTAATCATTATTTTATTCCCACTTTCTTCTCTTTGTTGGAGATAAAGTCCTGCTTTGCAGCTCAGGCTACCCAACCTAGAACTCTCCACCCCTGCCTCTCAAGACCTTGGCTGATTAGAATGTGCCATCTCTGCAGACGAGACCCCATAGTGTATCACTTTCTCTATCCTCCCTCACAACCCCCCTTTCCTCTCTCGGGTAGTTGCCTACTTACTAGGACAAAAGATCTTACCATGTGGTAACCAAGATTGGACAGGACACTGATCTTGGACTTTGCAGTCTCTAGAAGTACACTGGTGTTGTTTAAGACACCCAGCCTGGGTGTCTTGTTTCGGTAGCCCGAGGTGACAAGGGCATACTGTCTTATGAGTGTGTTGTCACTATGCTGGGAGCTGCTTGTGTAGTGGGTGAGCCCACTGCCATGTGATTTTCAGCTAGGTGCATTGCTCTCTGCTTCAGCCTTCTCTCCTTCAAAATGAGTTCAATAAAGGCAGATGTCAAGGGGTGACTGTGAGGATTTAATGCCACATCTGTGCAAAATGCTTCACACGATGGCTGATATTTGGTAAGGATTCCATGTTCTTTTTATGACATTTAAACGTTTCTATAGATGTCTATAATGCAACTGATTAATATTATTTGTAAGACTCTGCCATTCTAGATCCAATTTAATACATTCTGAACATGGATCTTCTCAGAGATGTGTATTCAACCATGGGGTGCGCACGGGAGGGGGTGGGGTCTGTTTGCAATGGCATCAGATAAGAAAGCAAAATGTTTATTCAGTGTCTCCTCTACCCATCCAGAAAATACTTGTTGACACAGAATGTGCTAGGCCCTGTTTAAGAGGCTGAGCACAGGGCAGCAAACATGCCCACTGGAGCCAACAGCTTATATTCCTGCGAATGACAAGTTATAGTATAATGTAAGGACAATAAGAAAAAGGAGAAAAGTAGACTCTGGAGGACTCAGCTTTTCCAGCCCTGGTGCAGTAGGTGTGCTGTGGGCACCTAGCCCTCTTGGAGAAGCATTTACTGCACTGCACAGAGTCACTGTTCTCTGAGGACGTGCATGCATTCAGAACTGTTAGCGTGAATGAGGAAGGAAGGAAGGAAGACTGGATGAATTGAAACCACCCACTCCTGGAATCAGCATGTTTCTAGTGGACTACAGCAGGGAAGGACCTAACTCCATTGGGATCCGAATCTGGGTTTAATATCCATTCAGTTTACACCAATGGACTGAGCATAGGGGTGAGAGTACTTGGAAAGTCAGCCCCAAGAATGATCAATGCCACCTTAGAACAGTAGTGTGGTTAAGATATTTCGACATACAGAAAAGACTCTTAGGGTCTCGAGTTCACTGAAGGAAGAAGAAGCGGTTCTATTTGGGAGAGGAAATGGCATACAGGAAGTAGAAGTTGAGAGTAGGAGGGGACATAGGAAGGAAGGATAGCTCATGGCTCATCTTCTCTCTCATATGGAGGATCTAGCATCTGCCCCCCCCACACACACAGTGACATGAAAGTAAGATTGGTAGAGGGTGGATGCATAAGGATGGGGATGGAGGATAGGTCTGAGAAAGGCACAGAGATAGATGAACAGGCTTGAAAGTGTGGCAGGGAACCCTCTGTTTTGTACACTTTGATTTTATGGGCTGGAGAGATGGCTCACTGGCTAAGAGCACTCACTTGCTGCCCCTCTAGAGCATCTCCGTAAACGTCCCAGCACTCCCGTTAGATGGTTCACAACCTCCTGTAACTCCAGCTCCTGGGGATCAGATACCCTTTCCTGGCCTCTGTGGACACCTGTACACACGTGCCACACACTCTCACAGACACACACTTTGAAATGAAAAATACATCTTGAAAGTTATTTTAAAAATTGAAACATATTTTGAGCAGTGGAGGGACTGAGCAGAAAGGGTCTTGCCTAGAGTCCTTCCCAGGAGGGTTGGATTCACCAGGGACAGGCTGACCCAGAATAGGAAGCTGCTCTGTAATTTAGCAAGAGGAGATAGGTCATGGACCCAGAGCATGCCAAGGACGAGATGAGAAAGAAACACGGTGTGAAAGTGTATGTAAATGCTTTTGGCCTGCTTCCATTGGGCGCTGACCAAGAAAGTGCAATAAATAGCAGGGAGGCTGAAGACAAAGTCAACATATGGGCAGAGGGAGAGGCCCAGGTAGATCTCCTTGGCTGATAGCACCCACACCCTATGGTTCTACTGCTAGAAGTGGCAGGCTTACGTGATGCTGGTCTTCATGGTGGGTAGATGCACACTGGTGAGTCTTTGCTGACGATTCAGGAAGGTCCCTGCCTCTGTGGTCACTCCTGAAACTGGGGTTCCATGTGTGTACGTGGGGGGAAAGTGACCTGACTGTAACATGTCTCTGACCTTGCACTCATTCACTTGCTCAAGGTACAAAGATATTCTCCTGTTTGACAGGCATTAATTATGGTCAACAGTGAGAAAATAGCAACAGAACATACCTGCATGGATATGTAGACTCATCTGATATAGACATGCTCTACACAAAAGGTGTGTTCTCGGGATAAGCTGATGCGAAAGCAAAGGGAGGAAAGTCGAGGCTGAGTGGCGATGCATTTCTCTAAAGCTGATGGATGCAGAAGGACCGCAGGGAACACAGGTGGAAAGGACGGTCAAAGCACCCACAGCATGCAGCGATTCAGTGGGAGAAGGGACAAGGTCCATCGCCCAAACTAGTCACGCGTGCTGGTGGCCTCTTCATTTCTCTAGACTGCAGACCCACTTCATCACAAAGAGCTACAGACTGAATGACCCTAATCTGCTGAAGAATGCCACCTTCTAAAAAGCAGCGTTGAACCACCGAGATAACTCAATGGGTAAAGGTGCCAGACCCCAATCTTGAGTCTCCACATAGGGGAAGGAGAGGATGGACTTCTGCAAAGCTCTTTTCTTGCTTCCACATGCTTTCCATGGCCAGTGGCCCTGCACCCATACACAATAAGTAAATAAATACAATTAAAAAGCAATGTTGTTATGGGCTGGGAAGATGGCTCAGTTGATAAAATCTTGCCATGCAGGAATAAAGAACTGATTTTGACTTTGCATGGTACATGAGTGTCAACCCAGCACTGGGGAGGCAGAGAACCCCCTGGACCTTGTTGACCAGCTGAGACTAATTGGCAAGTTGCAGAAATTGAGAGAACCCAAGGTAGATGATACCTGAGAATGGCCTCTGACATATGTATGTGTGAAAGCATGCATGCTTGCTCAACCACACATACACATGATATCACACCCACTACGGATATGTATTTTGTAACATTTTCAGGGCATTTGGAAGTTTTCCATACCACGGGCGCAAATGAAGTTTCTTCCCTGATAGAATTAACAGTCCGTTGAGACTGAAGTCATAGCCTCAAAGAGTGGGGTGTTTTTTGGAGTAGGAATTCTGTTTTATTAGGTGGAGCCAACACCAAAAGCACCTGTTTGCTCTAAATGTCTTACATTAAATTAAAGCATCAACCATGTCTTTCAGTTCATTCTCTTGAGTTTTACAGGGTCATTATTTCGCATGACTCCATGGAGAAGTCAGGACTTCTGCACCTCCGTGCTTCCAGATTGTCCGGCCCACCTTTCTGTAGTCACATCCAGAGGACTTAGAGATGA